AACTTACTTTTTCTATTTTTCTTTTCCACTTTTTTTTTTGTTTTTGTTTTTTTTTTTAGCTAACGCCAACAATCTGCACAGGCCTAGGTACATCGTAAAAGAGCTCTCTCGTGGATGCATCGTCAATGAAGCCCTCTGATTCGGTTTTTATATCGTCGAGTGAAAACCGAGGGAAAGAGGAGAGCCTAATCGAATTAACCTTCTACCTTCTCTCGCGCGCGCGATTTTAGCTTGCTTTTTTTACTCTTGCACGGCTTCGAGTGGGATTTTTGCGCTTTATGATTATTAAGTTATTACTTTGGTTGCTATCCCGCCCTCTCTCTGTTTTTCTATTTAATCAAACTCCTAATGAGAGTTTCAAACGTTCGCGTAATAAGTTTTTCGCTAATTAGAAGTTATGAATGGAATAATGAATCAATTTACTTGCTTTCATGTTTGTACTGTTCTCCTCAATGTGACGCTTTGATTGCTGATTTTCCGATACGCTGGCATGATTGATGTGAAATATAGATTGCCATTTTTCAAAGTCCGTTATATGCCAGTATATATAATAAACCAATTTTTTGAGCGATAATTGTAAGCGCGATTTGAGTTTTAAACTAGTCAGTAAAAGTCAATAAAAAAAATTTTTTTTATCGGTAAAAAATTTAAAAAAAGCGCATCCAGAAGCAACGATATACACGTAGCCTAATTACCGAGAAGCTATATAGATAGCAACGAGTGCGAGGCTGTGAAGCTCTAATCGTAAGAGCCCTAGAGACCCTGTGACTCTCTCTCGTCGTCTCTTTCTATTGGTGTAAGCAGAGCTGGGCGAGCGAACGAAATTAAATTTACGAGCTGGCCTGTTCATTAACGTGTCGCACGTACGGACCATTGGTTACAGGGGTGTAGGAGGGAGGTGGTAGTGGTCGTTATTGTAATTTAATATCGTCATATAACGCAGTGCGCCGTTCTCGCTCTCTCACACACACGCGCGCGCGCGCAGGAGTAGATAGTAACTCGAGTTTTACCGGTGACCAGTGCATGAAATCGCAAGTGTCGGTGTTCGATTGCTCTTGTGTTTACGAGCGCGCGTAATCTTGTTCGGCTGTACCATATACGCGCAGCTTCCCATATAATAATAAGAATAAATGCGTCGGCCACGTTTATTGCGGCATGCCGCTTCTTTTTAACGGGCGTTTAAAGCTCTTATTTTGAATTTGCACGGATTTTATGTAATAAGATTACGATTATCGTTTATATTACTCACGTAAAATTCGTTATTTATTTATCTTGTTACTCCCACGCGTTTTGATGAATTTCCCAAGCGCCTGGCATATATCTTTTGTTTGCAAAATTTCAGATCGAATGCTTCTACTCGATTAAAAGCCTTCGTGTTGCAACTTTTTTGTTGAAAGTCAAGTTCAACTTTTCTGTTGAAGCTTTCTAATTGAGTCTATCCAGCGCATAAAAACTCGATTCTCAAAGGCAACTACGTCAACCGCAATGATAATTAAAATACGCAATCCTGGAAATCTACCGAGCCCGCAGTTCGACAGATAAATGTTTAAATGTACTTCGCCTCCATTATCGAGAATGAGCACTTCTGTCATTCCGTGCTGGCGCGCAGAGTTTCGAAAGTCTTGTCGACGACTAATCATTCAATTACTCGCTACTTTTAACTGAATTTCCCATCGAGTTGAGGAGGCGATTTTCGAGAAGACAAAAGTTCGGGTCAACAGCACAACCTATTCTCGCACTCTCGACAACGAGTATATACAGGAGGAGTATGGCCGAGAAAAATGCCGTCTTTCTGGAGTTGTCCCGACACAAGCATCTGACTCTCGACGTGGCTATATTTAATTACGAATGGAATACAAATTTTTGTTTCACCTATAAAATTGAATAAGTTCCCAAGTGAAAATTCACTACTTAATAATTGTAATTCAAGAAGCTATTTATTTACATTTACTCGCGCGTGTAAATTAGCACGGGAGCGCAAACATTCTCATATTTGGGTAGCAAGTTTATAAGAGATTTAACATCGTTTACGGAAAATTTTATCAAACGCGATCAAGCGAGCACAAACTGAACCACGATTGCGTATAAATCAACAGCTCGTTATAATACGATATTGGAAATCGTAATAAAAAAAAAAAAAAAAAAGAAGAGAGACGGCATGTAATAGCTTTGGATAGCTACGAATAGTACAAATCGCGTATACCACTTGCACGATTGACTGTCGCATGACCTTCAATACAATGACACAGCTCGTATCGCACACACGTGCGGCCAATAAATGTTTGAACGAAAACATAATGACGTGCTCTATTTGCACGCTAGCCGCGGAAGCCTCGTAACACAGCGTTTGCCTCGTCAATGTTCTGAAATGACGAGGCCTTGTTTTTCGCTAGCTGTCGCATAAAAATTCATCGTTCCGTCAATACGTCACATCAGATGAACACGGTGCATCGGCGAAAGTAGAAAAAGGAATAGGGAAAGACGGACAAAACAAGGTACTCGAAGCAATCTCTATCCTCCGCATCTCTTCGTACGCGGATGTGTCTGTGTTGCGATGGCGCTGCTGGCGAGTCCATGCCAAGCAGCTTATCTATCACTCATGTAGGTGTACACTTGGCGCGCGGCAACGGAGTGAGCTTACCTTAAGAAAGGGAGAATCCCGAGACGGAGCACTCGATCGTCTGCACGCTTATTTCAGTTGCACAGGCACGAAAACAACGCGGAGCCACAACCAAGAAGTTGGGAATCTCTAGGGAGCAGTCCTCCGAATAGAATGTGAATTGCCGAGCTGTATGTAAATTCAATGCCAATCGCGCGGCAACCACTCCGGAATCTCACTCTGCGTGCGCGTGCGTGTATAGTTGTATTTATTCCGTAGGACCGTTGCCGAGAATATACAACCCAAATCGAAGAAACAAAGGGATATTGTTGGAATACCAAGTAAAGAGAGAGAGAGAGAGAGAGAGCCTGAGCATAAATGCAATGGAAACTGGCTTGGCATGAGTGTCATAATGGATAGGTTCGCGCGCTCACGACACTAAAGCTCGATCGATGAACAATTGATTTAAAAACAGTACGAGTGACCTTTCAGAGGCCGTCTAACGTATGCCGTAATATCTTTTGCTCTCTTCATTATGTAGACTCGAATTATGACTGCTCGAACATCTGATAATTATCTAAAAAGATATAACATATTTACAGAGTGATAATTCAGCCACTGATACTATCCAATTTATAATGCAGGAAACTTAATTGACAGAGATTACGTAATAGTGGAGAAATTAATTGTGGAATATCTCAAAGTCACACACACACACGCGCGTGTAATTAAAAAATAAATTGGCTCGTTAATTGTATCACTGCAATAGTTGTCTTTAAAATAAGAAATTCCGTGAAAAGTCAATTAAGTTTGCGTTTATCAGCGATTTGAAAAAAATTATTTACAACAACGCTGAGTGGGTGCGACGTTAAATAAGGATGACGAGATCGATAAACAACGGTAACGATGACAATATGCACCGCCAGCGCAGTTGTGTCAGATGCTGATCCGAGCACAACTCGCATCAGATGAAGTCACTAGGTCACAACAGGCCATGAGAGACAGAGAGGGAGAGAGAGAGAGAGAGCGTGTAATTAAATGCCTGTATACATACTGCAAATATAGCCGAAGACCGAGCCGTGGCGTCGTGACGGGTGCGGGCTTACATCGACGGAGACGTGTGCTTCTGACGCATCGGTTTAGATACATATGGCTATGCCCGGTTTAATGATCGTAGACGAGCGCACGGTCGCATTATCAGCACTATGCCCGGACACGCTTGAACTTGCATCTCTGACTCTCGACGAATCCACATTTAAATCTCCGTGGCGTAATTTACGTGGAATAATCCTGCCCGCTCTCTCCTTTTATTCTGCATCCCGCGCTCGCGGATAAGTCCTTTTATAATTATCTTGAATCCGCTCTGAAGAATTCACGCCGCGCTGATATTTTGGCCAACAAGCTTTTGATAAAACGCGTTTACGCGGCTTTTGCGCGGCGTTCGCACGCCTTTCAAATGAGATTTCCTCTCTTTTGCGCTCCTTCATTCTAACCTGATTATTCTTGAGTGAGGCGGTTAAAGCTGTACCGTGAAAACTTTGTTTTTCTCTTATCGCGCTTTGCTCTCAGTTTTTCTTCATTTGTTCGTGTGCGCGTATTCACGAGCGGCAAAATGTACCGAACAAACGAATGTTTACAAAGGGGTACTTTCATGTACGCGAATGACTTACGGACGGAAGAGCGCAATTTTTCGATCGAGTCACGACCTACGAATATCGTATATAATTCGCGGAACGATCGCAGCAGAGTAACGCCGACATAAAATTTTTCGAATAAATCAAATGCTGCGCGCGCGCGTTCTGCGAGAGCTTATATCACGGACACTCGACTGTATTAACCAACGCCCCGCTTTGTTGGATTTTTCTTCTACTTTATTTGGCGCACAGTTCTAGAAATGAAAACAAAGAAAAGTTGAAAACGCTATCAAGCTTCCGCAAGACGTTTTCCTTCCTTTCTCGTTTCTTTTTCTATCTTTTGGTTTCGCATGCGCTTTCCGGAGTTAACTTCGAAGAGATGAGCGTACGCCCGTTCTCATAAAGAAATGTTCACAAGTTAACATAAGCGTGTAAACGGTCTGTGCGTAAGGTGTAGTCCCTTCTGTTACCGCTAAACTGATTTAATCTACTAAGGGGTTTATCTCTCGTGTCACTCACGCGATGCCCCGAGAAAAAGAATTGATTTTTATTCCCTGAAGTACTACTATCGCAGAACCAGATTAAATCTTTGCGAATCAAGTCTTCTAGAAAACTTTCGAAAGATAAAACCTACTTGCAATAAATTAAATCTACCACGCGCGCACAGCGTCTCTGGTGGGAAAAACTCCAAGAAAGTAAATCGCTCATGCTGACCTCGATTACAACCGTGTGCGCAAGAATTCATATCGAAAAGTACTTTGACTCACCCTCGTTCTCGTTGTTTCCGATAATAATTTCGGTCTTGTCAAAGTTCTTTTCCTTTAATAGCTCGATTGGATCTTTGGTCAAGAAAACACCATCGATGGTCGGAGCCGACGGAAAGCCAAGAATGCCACCGTAGCTGTTCCACTGTTGCACCGATATGGTACGCGCCTCGACGGATCTCATGCAAGACATAACTCTGCTAGGGTTGTCCTCGAGCATCGTGGAATTACAGCCACAATCCTCAACGAGGATCCTGGCGACCTCGGTAGCTCTCTCTGCGCTCATGTAACTCCAAGGTGCGTTCAAGGTTCCACTTTGCAGAATACCACGTCGGGCGAGTCCTTTAGTCACTGGCGACATCAGATGCAAGGAGACCGAACCACCACCAGCGGACTCGCCGAAAATAGTGATGAGTTCAGGGTCACCACCAAAGACCTTGGCATTGTCTTTGAGCCATTTCAATGCCATGGCTTGGTCCCACAATCCCATGTTGCCAGGTGCGTCGTCATTGGCCTCTAGGTAATCTTTCAAGTACAAGAAGCCAAAAGCTCCTACGCGGTACTGCATCGAGGCAATGATGGCGTTGCTCCTGGCCGCCATAATGTCCGCGTCGTACACATCCAAGGTCGCGGTGCCGGTCATGTATCCACCGCCATAGATCCACACGAGAATTGGCATGCCCTGGTGATGGTTCTTCTTCTCAGCCGAGTCGCCGCCACCTTTGTGCCTTAATCGCAACTTCTTGGGCACCCAAATGTTCATGTAGAGACAGTCCTCGCTGATGTTGGTATTAGGATTCCACATCTCCTCCCCTTCGAAGCCCGGAAAGTACTCGTAACGCTCCTGGATACAACTGTTGGGCATGACAGTGGCATTGTAAATACCCGGCCACGGCTCCATTGGCGCTGGTTTGCGGAATCTCAGCGGGCCGATCGGTGGCTTCGCGAACGGCACTCCGTAGTAGATGTGCACCTCCTTGTCGAGTATCGTACGCGACAATCCCCTCATGAGGCCGCTGGTGGTCGAGACGACCAGCGGGTCGTCGAGGTAATCGTCGCGGTAGGCATTCTCGCTCGCTGCGAACAGGTCGTCGTTGGGCCTTGCTAGCAGCGGCCTCAGAAACAGCAGCAACACTAGCCACGCTCGGCCCTCCATGCCGGCACCGCGCCGCGCTCGATGCTCTGGCTCAACAAGTTCGCGCGCACGGAATCTCTACGCTCGCTCGCTATGTTCTTACGGAGCACGCACGCACGCGGCTATTCTCTCTCGCTCTCTCCCTCTCGCGCGCGTGGCGTTTAATCTTGTGCTTTCTCACTCGCTCGATTGCTCTCGCTTTTAACGAGGTTGCGCGCTGTCGCGCGCCGACTTGAACTCTTGCATCAAGGACAGCCTTTTGTTGAGTTATCGGTCGCGCACTTCGTGTCACAGCACCACCACCCACCACCACTACCACCACAACAACAGCCGAGTTTTTAGTCTTGGAACACAAGAAAACGATCAGAACTAAATCTCAAGGTAGCATTTTCGCTCAGCTTCGACGCCCGAGCGGGAACTCGCCGCTCGTCTTTGTATTTTTAGATACGACGATGAGGTCGAGCGAGAAGAGCGAGCGTGAGACAGCAGTAGTGATAGTAGTAGTAATAGTAATGTGGCGGCCAGCGTGCCGCGTTGCACGGGGTCGACTGGCAGGCAAGCTCGGCTATGACTCCGCGCCACGGCGCAGAGTTCTCTCCACCGCCAGGCTGCGCGCGCGCGCGGGCGAGCGAGCGAGCGAGCGAGCGCGGGCGACCGACAGCGACGGGGAGAAAGTCAGCCGCCGTGCGCGAGTGCGCGCGCCTTACGCGCTTTCTCGCTTCTTTTTTTTTTTTTCAGTGCTGCCCGACGAGAATAAGCTCGTCTCTCTCCCTCGACACTTTGCGACCCATCCTCCTCGGGCTGACCGCTGAAAATTATCTTTTCACGGCATCGTCGGCGGCCTGCAGCGCGATGCACTTTTCCGCTTTCGCGCGTACCCGCCGGACCTGCTGCTACTGTTGCTATTGCGCTGCTGGTTCACAGGTGGTTTGGCCATTTGCACCCGTCTGCTCGCTGGCTGCTTTCGGGCGAATGAGCGAATGTCTTTTCATAGATACGTGGAAGCTTCGGAGCGTTCTTTTTTTGCGTATGAACAGCATTAAGCGTTTATAAATGCTTTACGGTGCTGTCAAGTATTTTCTGTCTTCTATAAATCTGACCACGTAAGATAAAATTCAGTTCGACTGCGCGTTGAGTTATTTATAAAAATAATGGCTGTTTGTAGTTTGTATGCTGAAGCTTTTGTCCCAGAAAACATATTTATTTAGATAACGACATCGTTGAGAATGTGCCGACTGCGCGGCTTTACACACGATTTTTATGAGCTTGCATGCTCAGCGCTGCTTAAAAATTCGTATCAATACTTTCTTGCTCGCTCCAAAGTGCCGTAACCTACTGCGCCCTATTCTCGCGCGGAAGCTCGCGCGAATTATAGGAACACTCTCGATATTTAAGACAACAGCAGCTCGCCTTGGTTCGCTATGCGCAAATAATAAGATTGGCGCACGCCCGCGGCCGCACTATTTTTTTTTTTTTCACTGCAGCGCGACAATACACACACGCTCGCACATTTACGGTAATGTGCATAATAAGCATTTTCAAAGCACTTGTACCGTAATTTGATGTTATCTTGCGGCAGAGAATGTTATCGCGAGTATACGGTTTCCAAAAATGGCTTGTGGACAGCTTTTATCAAGCAACAAACATTTTCCATGCTGGAAACGAACAACACTGTAACTCGAATGAATGACTTGCGAATTGTACAATACTGCAGTTTCAATGGCATTATGTGTTCAAGTTATAGCAAAATATTGTTTCTAATCTCAGAATCATATAAAACAATTCGAATAATTAACGTTTGTTTTTAATTTGCAAACTTACTGAGCTTTTTATTATTAATGATCATTAATTATAGATTTTCGTTAATGGAAAACGTAATTATTAATGTAATATTGTTAAATATAGCAACATTTATCAAGCTAATTAGTGAAAATATCTTTCAAACATGCATAAAGTAACCCTGAAGGCTAAAAACAAAGAAAAAATGAAATTCGTGGTGTCATTCACATTGAGATAAAACTATAACTCAGTGAGACAAATCGTTTAAGCCAAACAATAGTATAATTGAGCACTGAAAACAAGTAAAAAAAAACAAAAGGAAGAGCGAAGGAATCAATTGTATCTGATGATAAATGGTTGTAATAACGCGTCTCCATCTCGATCGCCAGTGATTTGCTTGTCAGGCACACACACCGAAGTCTTTGGCGCTTTCGTTTGCTAGTCGACCTTCGTGGGAGAAAGCATGGCGACAGCTCATTGGCCATGAGTACAAACGCGTTACATACACGTACGCATAGTCAAAGAGTTCTCTTTCCGAGAGCGTATAAGTAACGAGCCGCTTCCGCGCCGACAATTGAGGAGAATAAGCTCCAAGAGAGCGGCGAGCGCGCGAGAGAAAGGGAACGGCATCGCTCGGCCCGGCAATTGTTGCCGCCGCTGCTGCCATGCCCGGGCTGCTCTCTCTCTCTCTCCCTCTGCTTGCATCTAAAGGTCACACGTGCATGACCCTTACTACGATCCCGAGCTTTTTCAATTTTGCACGTGCAAGCTCCCGAATCTCTCTAAAACTTTCTCTCTAGGTGCGTGTGTGTGTATGTTCTATCGATTTTTCACTTTGACCCATCAGGTATTATACAGAAAATGTAGCTTTTTGGAAATTTGTTCAATGAGCTTTCTCTCCAGACACTCTTGAGTGAAAATTGTAGATTTTCATATTCTCGCTTCGCACTTTTTTCAGATAAACTTTCAATTTATTTATGTGCCAGTTACTTTATTTTATTTCATTTTGAATTTAATTAGCAGGTGCATTAACGTTTTTTACAAAAGAATAAACTAGTCTAATTATTTTTTTTACAATGAAGTAATTCTATTATAAAAAAGGCTGCGTTTGGTTCATAGTCAACATATATGAAATTAAAAAAACGTTGGCTTTGTGCTGTAACAGTGCGACATAAAATTTAAGAGCATACTCAACGTAACATTTTATCTGCTGGAATTCTCCTGACCCAGACGTGCGTTTCGTTCCACGCATGCTTTTAATTATCGGAAAATTTATTTTCCACGACCAGGTGCTCGGTGAAAGCGTGCGTCGCCTGCCCATCGATATAGCGTTTTCACAATCAACAAAAAGACAATAAAAAATAAAAGATACAAAGATAGAGGGTAAGAGAGAGAGAGAGAGAGGAAAAAAACGAGGCGAATTTCGTTTTGTGCCTCGTCGATGTAGCGCGTGACGGCTGGCTGTTTGGCAAATTTATCTCGATGTTTGCGGTTCGAATTTTCGTGGCCATGCCGTTTCAATTTTGTCCTATTTCCCCACGAAGTGACTATTAACTAATTGCTTTTTTTTCTCGAAGCCCATCACTGTCCACACTCGAATGCGCATATAATTTAAGGCTTTCTTTCCCATACATGGATGTAAATTAACTGATTTCGCGCCTTAAATACTTTTCGACTTGAAAGAGAAAGTCCGCCAGGTAAACGGAACCGATAAAAAAAAAGAATTCCGCGAGAAAAAATTTGAGTGGACTTAGCGCGTGGTATCGATATTTTTTGACAAGGTTTGACAAGTCACCGACGAGCTTGAGCTATTGTTCTCTCACTGAGCTTCTTGAATTTATTACGATCAATTTTCAATTATTGAATCTATTTAATGCTCACTATGATTCAACTAGAGTACAATTTGATATTTACCCTATTTACTGTTTATATCTTCAAACTTTGTGGTTAAGAATTCAATACAGCATTGATGAACAGGATCACTTGCTACATAATGAGATTAATTAAGCTGTTATATAACGTAGATGTCGCGAGTATCATAGTTTCTGATGTTCATTAATTATCACAATCATTTTTCAAAAATAATCAAAGACATGTTCTGGTAAGAAAATAACCATTTTGACATGTAAATTGCTGAAAAATACTCATTATTCAATTCGCAAAATACTCATAAATATACGAATTTTCCAAATCATTAAAAAAAATTATATATATTACAAAAATTACATATATCCGATCCGCTGAACGAACCATCAAGTAAGCACAGATGATCCTTGAGAATGATAAATTCACTATCTGCACTCATTTGTAATTAATGCACTTGATTAACTAGCATTGAGAAGTAAACCATAAAAGAATCAGTCAGATATTGTACAGTCATGAACATCTTTGAAGGTTCGATAAGCAATCGATATAAAGAAAACACAAACGCGTGTCAACCAGAAAAAACTAGTTCAGTTAGAAATAGCACAATGACAATTAGTTTGCGTTATTATAGATAGCCTTCCAAACATCTATTTATATCAACCAATAATTTTTGTTGATGACGTCACGATAGCCAAGAAAACAGAATTAGCTTCTCATATATATAAATTTTCTTCTTTAAAATCAAGTTGTACCAATATTTTTGTAGAATTTTTGCTTTTTTGACACATATTTAAATACAATAAGATCACTCATAACTAATTTAATTAGTAATGTACAATAACCAATAATAGCTACGTAAGCAATCAATCAATAATTCACTCTATACCCGCTAACTAGTTCTTACAGGGATCATTATTTATGCAAATGCGTCGCGGCTTTGAGTAACCGGAAAATAAAAATCGGGTTATACAAAAATAGTTTTGTATCGATATAAGCGGGTCGTCGTTTACGTCACTTGCTGCCCGGCAGGTTCACAATAGACTACCTGTATACATGCGTGTCTGCTGCAGTGAATGGACATGCGACGTGTAATGCGCTTCGCGTCGAATATACGCCCAAAGCCAAGATACAGCGCAGTGCTGGCTTCGCGCTATCCGCGTACGACGCCGATCGGAATGTCTTCTAAAGAAATAAAGAATGCTCCCGTTGTTTTTTTGCTCTTTCCGGGTTCTTGTCAGAACGTTCATAATTTCTCGGCTTTCGTAAGAAACTTGAGACGCAGACAATTCTAATTTGATAGGAAATACAACGTTAACGAAGTGCTGTGAGTAGGGTAGAATTAAAAAAAAGGTTTAATTTTATTTAAAGCATTTGTTCTTCAAGCGTGGACAAATTAAGATTTACGCGAAATCTTAATTAATGATATAGGTGAAAGATAACTGCAATAATCTTCGTGTGATACATTACACGGTATAACTTGTGACGCTATCTCGAGGTCGAATTCCTGAGTAGTAGTAATAACATTCGAATTATACCGTCGTAGGCTATACTCATCGGCAGTACACAGCGAAGTGTCTATAACGGAACTTAATCAGACGAAGCTTTTAAATACACGCAAGTGCGAGAGATAATGTGGCGATACGTGCATTAAGCTAACAATACCAATTTCCATTAGCCTCGTCAAAGTCACACGCGTGTACTTCTTAGCCAGAGACTCTAATGACACAAAGTGCAGCTTCATACTCAACGTGATAAGCTCGCGTATGCGCATAATCGCCTATGTTCACTTCGTTCTCAAGGCGACTGGCGCTCAAGCATCGCAGCAGTCCGCGAACTCCACTCTGATTTCACGCCGCGCCCTATCCGTAATATTCAAGCCGAGG